TGGAAACTTTTCGGTCAGTTAGAAAAGGCAAACACCTTGTCAAGTCTCTTTTCCATTGTTGATATCATTTTCAGTAAGCCAAATTAAGTGACGTTAATCCGCCGATTGGAGTCAGTATGAAGATAATTAAAATTTATACAAGTACGTGGCACTCCTACCGACTTCAAGACGACTGCACGATGAAGGATTCAACAAGAACCGACATCTCCATTATTTGACCGATATCTCATGTCGGTCAACACATGTCGGATACAACATATCGGTTATAACTGGATGAACCGATATCTATAACATGCCACCTCAACATTGTAAGGCGGCGACAACTCAGCATAAGTCATCATTACGTTTGTCCAAGTGGCGAGCCATCAAGAGAAATAGCTAAGAACCGCCTTTGACCTTTCAAATGTAATGATTACTGTACGGATAAATATGGTACATAAATATAAAAGGAGAAAAACAATTCTCCAGCAAGGGACACACGTACAATAATAATATTCACAAAAAATTCTATCTCCTTTTACAATATGCAAGTTCTTATCGTTGAATATTGAGTTTACTTCCAATGTACTTCAATTAGGCCGTTGTTAATTCCCGTTTGACAACAGTTTGGCGCTAGAGGAAGGGCCGCTTATGTTTTGAAGTTAACTTTCGCCTGTAAGCCACTTTCGTACTCGGAGATTACTATGTCGCAGTCTGGTCGAGATCATGTACCTCACCCTAGCCAGAGCCAATCGACTAACCATTCTCCACAACGTACAACACCGCCTCCTCCGGTCACGAATGTCACGAACTTTCTTCAAAATCCGGAGTTTATCCAAGGTCTGACTTTATTAATAGCTCGAGCCATGCCCAGAAACTCGAGCACAATACCATTGTTGATGCCGTTAACTATTAACCCCACAGAACATCCAACCCATACTCATCATAACCATGAAACACATGTAGCAACATCACATGCCACATCGCAGCCTCATCATACTTCTCCACGTCAAGAAGAACAGGCTCATGTAATTGCTAATCCCGTAACGAACAATCAAGTCCCAGATCAACCCCCTGTGCAGAAGATGACTGCTGAAAGTCATTCTGCTCATCACCAGAGAGTTTCGCCACGTCCTAGACCCATCTCGTCAGCCCCTCACGCTCGCGAAGATTTACGACGCCAAATTGAACGGAATCGTCTTTCAAGGCATAGTGCGGAGGAAATTGAAACTCTCCGTAAGCGTTTGGCTGAACTCGAAACGCGACAGAAGTCACAAGAAGATTCACCCCGACATGTCACGACGTCGGGAAATGTTGTTGTCGAGGCGGATTCTCCTTTAGCCCCCGAACTTACTGCGGAGCCACTCCCTGTGAAAGTGAAAATCCCGCAAATCGGCATGTATGACGGGACATCGGATCCAGATGCACACTTGGGCCATTATACATCTTGGATGGATTTACATGGGGCTTCAGATGCTTTGAGGTGTCGGATGTTTTCGCTTACACTGGGGCCACGAGCCCAAAAATGGTATTATACTCTCCCACCTCATTCAATTTGGAAATGGCAGCAGTTACGTGTAGCTTTCCGGTCACACTTTATCGGTGCCCAAATCTGTCTTATTCTGAAAGAATCGATTACCAACATTGTGCAAAAGGATGACGAGACTGTTAAAGACTACGTGGCTCGGTTCAACGACCGAATTCAGAACATGGAACCCTGTCATTGTAATATCCCGAGATTTTATCAGTATAAATTACGTTTAATTCTGATATAGTAACGTTATTGTTTATTATTTTCGGAATTAATTAAGTTCAGTCGAAATTATCGAAATCTATTTTCGACGTATCGTTTACGTTCGAAATAAATTTTGGTAATTAAGTAGTATGTTTAATTAATAATTAAACATAAAGTTAGTGGTTAATTGTAGAATTAATCACCCTTAAGTGAGTTAAGCCGTGGGAATAAGAAATTTCCTACCAAGTACAATTAAAACCGTAAGCTTTCCTTCACTTAAGGAAATTAATCTTCCCTCATCCATTGATTATGATACGTGGCATTAAAAGAGGATGATTAGTCATCCCAAATTATATTAGTAAGCTAGCAAGTGTAAGAAGGGGGAGAGGGCCACGCTAACCCTCGTCATATCCATCTCTCACTCGGCGTGTATATATGTAGCCCTTAAGTTCAAAATTCCCCACTTTTCCTTAGAGATAATCAGCAAATATTACAGCTCTTTTCAGCAGCATATATTAACCTTTCAGTAACCAAAAGATCAAGCAAAATTTCCCTGGAAATTCCATCGCAATCGCACGGCAAAGCTTGACGCACCGCACGGAGCCGTGAGGAAGAAGCCACGCTTATTTCCGTTTTCTGTCGAGCGAACTAAGAGGTAAATCCTCCTTCAGCGTATATCCTTGTTTACTCAGCC